ATATTTGACTTTGAATAATTTTATTTAAATATTTAGTTTTTCTTGTTCAATTTTGCAATTATTAAATGAAGTTTTTTTAAATACATTTGCATCAAATGAACGTTTAGCACGTTTAACACATGATGAGTACGCTATTGATTATTTAATAAACTATTAAGATAATAATTTTATATATATATATATCTGAATTTCTTGTTCGATATTTCAAAAGTTGTGTTTTTTTAATCCTTCATATAAAACATTTTATCAGGATGTTAATATGAAAGACACATCGTATTAATCTTCAAAGCAATTAACTTCCGTTTTTTCTTGAAGTCATGAAAATTATTTTACTAGATGAACTATATAAAGGAAGATTTTTTTTATAGAAATTCTATATTTTCCCAATGAATTATATAGGATATAGCGAATGTAATGGTAGTGGCATTATTTTGCCGTAAAAAAAAAAGCTCGAAGAAATTCTCTCTTTATATATTCGCAGTACAAATATTTATCTATATTTCAATAATATTTTGACATTCTTTAATTGATACCATAGTAGAAAGTATAAAAACTATCATTAATAAGACAATGGATTTGTTCGATATATTAAGATATCATTTCAATTACAGCAACTGTCGGATGATGTTTTATTTTTAACGTCTACTTAACTTTCATGGAACTATTTAGATCATCTGCCAAGTTTCTTGAGAGACGAAGTCTAGTAGTCGAAAGCAAATTATAGATCATTATTAACAATTTTGATTTGAATATAAAATATAGTATGAATTATAATTTAGAAAGAAAAATTTTATTTATCCATCTAAAATATAAATGAATAGCTTTTCATCGAAATTCGATTACTATGTTATCAAATGAAAAAAATAATGAAATATCGAATATTGTTTATATTATTAGTACATATATAGGAAAAAAATTTCTTTGGGTTTTCTATACTATATTAAAGTATTACCATCACTACTTTTAGCCATACTCTAACGAAGAAATATTTTCAAGTATAAAATCACTTTTGCATAGAAATTATATGTATCATGTAGATCCTAATGAGCTATGAATATCCAGAGAAAAAAAGTCAGGCTATTGGCTTATTGCTACTCAGATACTGCATTTTTACGACAGTTTTCAATACAATGCTATGTTTTCCCTAAAGACTACTCGAAAAATTGAATTTTAGAATTGCGCACAGAGATAAACCTTCATGAGAATAGTTTACTGCAAAAAGTTTCTAATTTGTTTTCGATTACTCCTATTCTGAAATGAGAATATTGAAATCTGTCGGTGTATATGAGCAATATAAACAACGCGCTTTTATCATAACCGCATCTAAGGATAGGAAAAAGTAAAATTATCTAAAACTTTCACAATAAACTATTCTCGTTAAAACCTGTGTCTGTACAAAATATCAAGTCGAAAATCGAAACTCAATATTCCTGGTATTCCTAAGGTAGGCCATGGAATTATGCTAAAAGCTATCGTAAAAAATGTAATATCTCCGCAAGAAAAAGCTAATAACCCGAATTTTTTCCCCGATATTCATAATTCCAATTCAAAAGTGATTTAACACTTAGAAATGTTGCCTTATCGATAGTGAATGACTAACATGTTTAAGCCGATACAAATCTTTTCAGACAGTACATTAGAGAGCAAAACTTTCAGAAATATTTTTTGTTTAATTTTCTTGTTCTACTTTAAAAAAGAAATTCTTTTTAATATAGCTGTTCACGAATTCAAAATCTTGTTAATTGTCTTTTAATACCTCCGATTACTTTACTCTCAACACAAACGACAACAACAACAACAACAACATCCGATGATTCAGGTGAAAATGAAAGATTACAAGTAAATTATTTCATATAAAATTAATGTTCTTTAAATTTTAACAAAACTAAATTCAGAATGCATACAAAATAGTATTAAAATGGATGTTTGGATCAGGTACTCTATTATGGCATATTGGAAATGTGCTTAGTCGACCATCATGGACAGCAAAAAGTTTTCGTTTTCGACACTTTATTGAATCATTCGAAAAACAACAACAAAAAGTAAATTTTCAATAGAATTTTTAGTTTTTAGTTTTTTTTATTAATAAACTTTAGATAGATAATTTTTCTATTCTTCTCATCGTCTAATTTAACCTTTTTTACATAGAAGAACAAGAAGAATTTTTATTTTCAACTATCTACATTTGATTGTATTCATTCATTAGAGAAATTAAGATCTATGATATTTCAACAGATATAAATATAGGAAAATTTTTCTCATATGAGTACTATCTAGGCCAACTAAAATTGCTCATGATTAGAAGATTTTCAGTTTCTTTTTTTGCAATCTATAATTATTCAGTTGTAATTACATGTTGGCTGCATAGTGTTACCTTTTTTTTTCCTCCATTCCAACAATTTATTAGTTCAATTTGTTTAATCAGCACGTGTTAACATGATTTGATGTTACTAGCTGTTAACATAAAGATAACGAGATGTTTTCTTAAGCATTGTTGCCTGACATTAATTGTTTTTCTTTTCAATATCCACGATTAGTATATCCCGTTTTGTTATATGTCCTATGATGGTTTATCATAACATAACACACAATAAAAAATCCTTGCTTTCTCGTTTTGCACATGAGTAATTGAACATATGTCGCTCACTTTATAGAAGTTATTATTACTTATGGGACTAGAAATACAGATCCACTAGAGCCCGTCAGATCGGGTCTGAAAATCTTTCATCCGACGGGCTCTAGTCATTTGAGAAATATGTCAGATGCGCTAGTCACCAAATACGAAAAACCGGGAAAAAGTATCTCGTATCTTCGAGGTAACTCTCCAATTTCCATTAGAAAATTTTATTGAGAGTATCAAAGTATGGTTCGATCGGATCCAAAAATTTTGAATTCGATGGGCTCTATGACCCATTATTCAGAATAAGGAGGTCTTCATATTTGAGAGAGTCATTCCTAGCAAAATTCGCTTGGTCGAATTATAATCTGACTAGTATAAGAACGTGTTCACATAGAGAGATTTTACTCTATATATGACTTTTTAGCTAATTATGACCAATACTAGAAAGTTAATAGCATAAATCCTTAAAAGAATCTCTCTCTCTCTCTCTTTGTTCCCTGTAATACATATCAATTCTGTCTTATCGAGTATATATATTTTTTAGGATGAATATTTTGATTTATTTATTGATGCATTATCACGATTAATAATGAATAAGGACAATAAAGTAAAAAAAATTTTTTTTTTAAATTAATTTCGTATTTTTTTTTATAAATATATAATTTCTACTAGGATCCATTTAGTCCAAAAAATGCATTATATGTCTATCAATTTTTTTCTATATTATCAATGTTATTAATTAATTCAAAAATGCTTTTTGAATATATCCGTGATCGATATGTTGAAGATTTTAAGTATGTTGTATACGACATTATAATTCTTATAAAGATTTAAGTTTTTTTTTTGTGTTGTTCATTATTAATTGAATAGATATTTTTTAAAAGAAGATGTTATACTTTCAAGAATTCCTATTCAATATCCTGTCTATCGTTTTATTCCAGAATTAATTCGTAGTGTTCATCATCGTATATTATATGGTGAACCAAATTATAATTCATTAAATCGTCCAAAACATCATCAACTTATTTAAAACAAATTTTCTTGTTCAAATCAGATTTATTTCCGCAATAATATTTTATTTTATTTATTTTTCTGCTTTTTATGGGTGATTCTAAAAAAGAAAACTATTTTATTTACATTTTCTCAATTAATCTCATTTTTCCTTTTCTTTCTTTTTGTTTTTAAATTAACATTTTTATTTTATTAAAAAAAAAACAAAACAAAATTATTCAACAAAATATTTAATTGGACTTATGGAATGTGAATTTTGTTTATATTTGGCATAAATAATAACTTCTTTAGAACCGACAGTTATTTTTTGTTGTAAAATCAGATCTACATAACCTTCAGTTCGAAGTGTTCGATTATTAATGGTTAATCTAAATGATTTTGCACCAGGAATATAATAATAAATAAGTGTAATAGAATCTTTTTTTTTAATATTCCATTTAACGGTGTATAAATTCGATATTTTGTTGTTTGAAAATCTGTGTATATCATTGGAAATATCATCAGTTGTTTAAGTTTTGTAACATTTAATGAAAACATAACAACTGAATTAGATGATTTATCATTATCATTTCTTCGTTTACAGAAAAAATAAGAAAAGAAATGAAAGAAAGAAATTAACAAAAGCTTTGACACTTACAATGAGAATTATCCAACTAATAAAGAAAAAGTTGTCTTATACAATTCTGACATTTGTAGAACAAAAATTTCGAACTACGAATGAGATATTTCATGTTGGCTAAAAAATTCTCTATTGTTATAAATAATTTCTTCTATTTTTTATTTCGTACTTCTATTATTATTAATTCATAAGCTTAAAATAACTCATGTTATTATTCATTATAATTTCTTAATCGTCATTATTCATAATTCTTTAGCAATTTAATTTTCTACAAATCGAACTTGTTGATTTAATATTATTTCTCTATAATAATCAAAATTTTACAATGAAAACTATGTACGTAGTGAACCTAACAGAGATTTATTTCTTCCCACAATATTTTTTGCCTATCAAGATATCTGATTGTTCTTTGTCAATGAATTGACATATAGAAAAATACAAAGAAAAAATGAAGGAAATGATTGTTGATAAAAAGAAACCTAAGGAAATAATTGACAAGTCATACAATAGGTTGTTTATATGTCGCTTAAGAATCAATACGAAACACATTAATGATCGAAAGGCTACGATAAATAAAAATCATATATATTTATATATACATCCTGTTTTAACAAGTTTTGTTTTTTGTTAACATAACTTTAATTCAATGTTTATGGCAAATAGTAATTCTCAATACTTGTAACTATTTTATTATTAATATGAAATTTGTAGATAATAATGAATAATATGATTCACACAAACGTTAATTTAATGCCAAATAAGAAACATGTAGTAGAAGAAGAAGATGATGATGAACAATGGAATCATAAAAGTTTAGATGTATTAAATATGAAAAAGAATCTTTTTATTAATATTTGTCAATCATTATCAATTATTTTAATGTTAATTATTATTATAATTATTCCAAGTGAGTTTAATTAATTAGAAAATAAAATTAATCAAACGATCTATTATTATATAAAATTTTCTTTTTCAATTATGTCAAAAATCTTTATTAGATATCAAATGAAATAAATATTAAAAATAATAAGAAATTCTATAGAATAGAATATGTATTTTATTTTCAAAAAGTCTATTAATATCTATGAAACTATTCTATATGGATGATGACGCATTGTTTTAAACTTTCGCAAAATTAATCTTTATCCATTACAGAATATTTTCATTCTCTAGGAAATAAACTCGTTTCATATTCATAAGAAAAAATTCATTTGTTTTTCTTTTTATAGTTTCACAAGTATTTGTCGGCTGGCATTATTCCGATGCATGTCCAATCAATCAATCAATTCCATATTATTTAATTGTAGCAGGTATTGTTGGTCTTCTTCTCATTATATTAATATTTGTATGTCAATTAATGATTCGAACATTTTCAAGAAAAATGTTTGATAATGTTATTGATAGAGCAAATTCAAATCGAACAACAACGCTTGTTGGTTGTGGAGTTTGTAGTATAATGTGTATTAATTTATCACTCTTTATATTTTTACTTGGTTGGTCTATAGCCGGATGGGTATGGGTACTCGGAGTATGGAACAAAGTGCAATATTATCATGCGAACAATAATGATTATTGTCATCCAATTGTTTATAAATATACTTTTTCACTTCTTTTATTAACAATATCTTTTCAAATAATTTTATTTTGTTTTGTTTGTAGAAAAACATGTGTTAGAATAATGACTCTAAGAAAAAAAGAAACAATAACAACAGATGAATCTTAAAGAATTCTTCATCATCTTTAATGGAAAAATCATTCAACCATGCGAAAGCAATATTAATGACTTTAATCTTATTAAAAACAATCATTAAAATTATGTTTCATTTTATTTTATTAATAAATTTCATTGTTTATATTTCAGTCAAAAGATTAAAAAAATATCACCGAAAAAAGAAAAAAAACAAAACTCGTGTAGTTTATCTCCTTTTCTGCCTCCAGTAAATATAAAAATAAAATTGAACAAGTGCTCATTCAACAGTATATTTTAACAGACCATCGTACCTTGACTGTTGTTTGTATTTGGCATAGATAGTTACGTCCTTCGAACCAACAGTGATTTGTCTTTGTAGAATTGGATCTGTATAACCTTCACTTTCAAGCCATTGTGAATCTACTGTCAAATT